GATCTGAACTAATTAAACTTTTTTTGCGAGATTTAGGTGTCGAGCTGGTAACTTTTATAATATAACTATTTTTCTCAGTTACAGACCAGTTACCACATGTGAGAACATGGTTATAGAGCTTATCAGGTCTGCCACATAGTTCATATTTACAGTAAAAGCATTTGGCAGTATATCTATTTCCCACAACTTTTTCTGAGGAACGCCAAAATCCAGTCCAACGGTGGTCAAAAAATGACATGTTAGGAAGAACAAAACCAGGCAGTGGTTGAGATTGCATAGTATTATTGCAAATGTGAGAGTTTTTTGGTTAGTTATTTGTAAGAGTAAGCGAACCAAATTTGCACAACAAATTTTCTTTTTTTTATGTTATATATAAAAATTTCAGTTCCAATTTCTAATTTATTTTAATTTATTTTTATTGATATGAAAAGTATAGATGTAGATTATATTTGTATTAGAAGATGAGAATTCTAATTTTTTTCGTTATCTCTTTGTTCATAATATGAGCAATTTCCTGAAAGCAATATGTAAAGTTTATTATAATACTATTATTTAATAAAGGATTTTATTTCTATACTGAGTATTTTATTTTTTACGCCAATAATTTTTTTTTTTTTTTTTGATATTTCTATGCGATCAGGGTTTTTGTTCCTTATTAGAAGGATATCTAAGTTCATAATAATTTCACACTTTCATACATTCTATTAATGTCTTTTTTTGATTAATTAATTCGCGTTGTTAGATTAAAAAGATAGTCAAAGAACAAAGAAATGGTATACTTGCAGCAACATGCTATGCGCTAGTATCGCTTGCTACAAATATGAAGTGCGATTTTTTTATAGCGCAACCAGGGTTGCAGCTTATTACTGCAATAGAATGTAATATCTTTAATATTTATAACTTATCTTGTAATAATTACAAGATAGATAAGCTGTAATTATTAATTTGCAGCAGGCAACTCTACTATGCGCTTTCTGGTCTAGAACTTGAAAAACAGAAGATGGCTAATTCTGGTATTTGAAACTTCTAGATTCTGATTTATATTAGTAATAATTTACTTCTAATGCACTGCTTATTTAAGAAATTAATTATTACGGTTGAAATTTTTCATTATCAGGTTTTTAATGATAATAAGATCGAATTAAGGTTTAACCTGTTAAAGCAAGTTAGTATTACTATATTTGCACCTTATACTTTCCTTTCATAATAGAATCATGCCACTTTCACACAATTATAAATTTGTTACGTATTGTTAACGGTTAGCTTGTATTAAGCAATTGAAAAGCATTAGCCTACTTATTGATCATTAATGTTAAGTGAAATATTTCAATAAAGAAATTCTAATATAGTCTAATATGCAGATGTTACATGTATAAATGGTTTTTTATGCAATATAAAAAAGTCTTTGAAGCCTACATTTTATAAAATTATTCACTATGCTAATTTTATATTAATAGCATATTGCTTTATATAAATTATGTACAGTAGTATAAAAGAAATTGGCACATGTATAAATAATTTTATTAGGTGGCATGCCAAACTGCCTTGAGGCATGCCACTGACATGCCACTATGGCATGCTATCATTGGCATGCCTGTGCCACTATGCCAGATACCCTACTCCCATATGAGTATGACCAAAGCCCGTTAGATCTATCAACACATACATGCCTCCATGCTTCAACTTCTTATTGGCCAGTAAGTTCTGTACTGCCAGAGGTGTTCCAAATCTAGTAAGGCCAATTCTTTATCACAGGTCTCTTTCTGGTTACTGCCCAATTATCCTCCCAAACAAAATCTCCAATGCCGCCTTAGGGGTTGTTGGTGCTACCTTGCCAATCACAGATTTACACACACAATCTTTGTGTAATAGAACCTTCTATAATGACCAACATTACACGTAGTGCCAACTACTCCACAATGGACCTCCTTCTGGAAATTCCTCCAAATATTCATAAGTAAATGTACTTACTAGAACTTGAACCCAAAACCCGCTTGTGGAGGGTTGGGTGCCTAGACCAATAGGCTGCACGATCCCAACCCCCTAGGTTCAATATTACTGAGAGATCATCATGAATATTCATTCTAGAAAAGATTCTACTTCCTTAGTGTTCTAAATTGTTAAAATTTTACCAACCGGTTAGTTGCCAACTATAGTTGGCAACTATCCGGTTATGATATTTTCAGATATTAGCCAATCAAATCTAAGAAATCATTTCAAATTATTCCAAATAAGCAGAATATCTTAGAATTATATTAATTGAATGATTAGTTGGTTAGTTGATTAAAAATTTTCTAACTGGTTAGTTAGAAAGTTGTCAACTATTTAGTTTTTCAACTAACAATTTGGAACACTATACTTCCTCTTTCATCATTATTTTCAACATTGTTGTTAAACATATTTGGTGTATGTAAGCTAGTAATAGATAGAGTGTAATTCTGAAAACTGAGAGTTTCTTGCCAAGTGGTAGATAAATCTGTAACAATGAGATTAAACTCTTTTGATGGATTGTAGTTGTAATATCGAATAGATGTAATTAAATTCTCTAAAGCTTGTTCAAATTCAGCACTTTTTGTATTTGCTTTTAAATATGCTTTATGGAAAAGACTAGTGGTATTTCTGTTATATGCTTCTGTGTTATAATATTTAGAAAACCAAGACCAAAAGTGAATGAAATAATTAGGAATAGGTTTATTTTCTAAAGGATAGCAAATTAAACAACTAGGGTCAGGTTTCCTTCTAAGTTTGCCTTGAGAAAAATATCTGCTAGTTTGGTGAACAAAGTCATGATCGTGAATTTGTTGTGATAAGTTGTAATATTTATACAATATTAATCAAGGTAGGTAGTAAATCCTTTTTATTGATGAAATTTGAAAAGTTCCTTTATGCTGTCACTAGAAAATGTTCTTTGTTGAATCTCTTGCTCGTAGCAATTTAAGTTAAAAAATTCAGCAGAAGTATAAAAATGAACTTTTGGTTGTAGAGGTTGACGATTAGGTAGTTGATAGATAGCACCAGTTGGATTATCTGGATTAGGAGGTTTAAGATAATATACTAGAGTATGGGAAGTATTAAAGTCTTGTTCAACTATTCCTTCTTGATCCCAATATGTTTTAGTTTTAGGGATTTTACTGTTAGCCCAAGAAAATCCACAAAATTGAGAATGTTCAAAAAGAAGAGAGATTTGTTTAGAGGACAAAGGAATATTAGATTGAAAAGAAGAAATAGTAGTTTCAATTTGTTGAAAAAGTTTAAAGTATTGATTATCAGTAGGAATATATCTAAAGTATTTCCAAGCAAAATTAAAGTTTTGTTGAGAGAAAGTTTGCATGTATAAAAGAGTTATAACACTATAACTTGAAAGTCAAAAGACTCGATTGATTATAGTTATAAATAGAAGTAAGATATAAAAAAGAAATAATATTGTTTATAAAAACTTAACAAGTACAAAAGTAATAGAAGGGGTTTAGGGCCCGTAGTCTAGTTGTCTAGATGCCTAAACTCACATGGCAGGTCGATAGTTCAATTATGGCTAGAGGTTTTTCTTTGGATTTTCCTCTGTAATCATTGAAGCCAGAAAATTGGATGCGAAAAGACCAGATTAAGAAATTCCCAGAAAGAAGACCCAAACTATAGAGTAGATAGTATTACTAACAATGAGAGAAGCAGTGAATATAGTAAGGGCTGTGGATAAAGGATAAGCCTTAAATAAAAATTGAACACCTCTGGCATATGTGCTTGAAGTCCAAAAATAGGAAATCTGTATAGAGTAATGATGCCGACTGACTATGGGGCATGGTAAAAATTTGAAATGGTATGAAGCAATGGGCTGGTAGTAGTAATACAAAACAAGAGCAAAGCGGAAAAGCAGGGGCCTACCAATTCTAAAAAACCAACCAATTTACAAAAAGCTAGAAGTAGAAATATGAAACCTCAATTGGGAGTAACTACAATTACACAATATAGCCCCAACCTTAACCAACACACGAGAGCTCCACAAATGGAAAGAAGGCTGTATACAGAAAAACCCAGAAACATCAAGTGATTACCAAACTAGGAAGTACATCGAGTAAAGATATGTACGAATGCCTCAAAGGAATTATAAACTGAGTTACTTGTCTGGGAGTTGATGGTTCCTGTATAAGAAAAGTGGTGGATATATAGATTGAATGTAGAGGTTGGAAAGCATATGACCTAAAATCCTGAATTATAGTGGTACTGATGAGGTATCAACAAAATTACAAAGTAGACATTAGACATTGAAGTAAAGTAGCCCTATAGTTCCAGTAAATGTTGTGATTCACATGTAATGAATTATATAATTAATTGTATATGTGTAAAAACATAATAAACTAAGAACAAGATATCCAGTCTATAAAAAAAAAAAAAAAAAAAAGTAATAGAAGGATATTCTTCAAGATTGTTTGAGTGTTCACGTATAGTTTTATATAGATGACTTTCAATTGTGACTGAATGAAATGACTCTCCTTCCAAATGACATTTTGGAGTGGAAGTAATTCAAAAATCAATAAGATATTGTAAGAAAGGAATATAAACAACTAGTAAATAAAATAATTTGCAAGATAAAAAAAGAAAAAGTAATTGGGTTAGGGTCCCGTAGCCTAGTGGTCTAGGCACCTGACCCTCCACAAACGAGGTCGATGGTTCAATTATAGCTAGTGGTAATTAATTGAATTAATTATCTCTGTAATCTACGGGGCTTTTGAATGTGGATCTCTGTGGTAGTAAGACTATGTGAAGTATATATTTGGCCGATAAAGAATTCTTGAAAGGAGTCTCGAGCCATGAAGAAGATCAGGCACTACACATGACATGGGTCACAGAAGGTATTACTGCAGAAGGCTATGTGTGTGAATCCACGATTGGCAAGGTAGCACCAACAACCCTAAGGCGGAATTGAGATCTTGATTGGGAGGACAGCTGTATGCAGTATATTCAGAAGTGGTAAGAGAAGTAGTGAACATAGTAAGGGGCTGTGGTAAGAGAATGGCTTTACCAAATATGGAACACCTCTGACGCAATGAAGAAACAAAGAAAACCAGTTAAAAGAACCCCGAAAAGTATAGAAGCAAGCACCCTAGTAGTACAAACATATAGACGGCTAGTGAGTATAGTCGCACAATCTATATGGGAGTCTATGACAAAACATAGCAGAAGCGCGAGTCCTGGGTTACTGCTTTGTGGCAGTAATTAAATGAGGTTCTTAACTTCTGTCTTAAGGATCTAGACTTCTGTATCACTATACTGATAGGGAGTACTTAAAAATGGGTGGTAGCCTAATTAAGTGATGTACGATGTTAATACCTGGACTCATGTAAACAGCTCTCCTAATGGCGGCAGCAGGTAGCTTGAGATACGGGTTTTCAGACGGTGGCAGCACCTGACTTGATATACAAATTAGGCTCTGAAGTAATATACTCAAGGAATACCAAACTGGAAGCAAGAAGAGCGCCCAATCCTAGGACACCAATTTGGAAGTTATACAAGATACGAATTAGAAGTAATGTAATAAGTAATGAGGGGTGGATTATAACTGGTGAATATTGTACAGTAGTATATATAGCGGGATGTATATGGATTAAATAGGTGAGCATGGTCTATTGTTGATTTGGAGAGAAACCCCCTAGCAAGTTAGGGGCCAAAGGGGAGGTAAATCTGTGGCTGGATAATTACACTTGGGCACTTTAGAGCAGCCGAGTAAGCTTTGTTACAGAGTTGGTGGGAGTATAGTTTCTAGAAGTTTCTGTACTGATAAAACCTTGTATGTCTCAATAAAAAGAGACACTTAACTACTGAAAATAATAAAGCAGATACCGTTTAAAAAAATAAATAAATAAATAAAGAAAAGTAAATTATAAATCATATATAAACACAAAGAGTTTTTGAGATCCTGTTGTTATTACCAAACTGTAATATAGTAGACTTTGGTAGCAGTAAACTATATTACTTAACTTAGTGTCAAGAGGGTAAGAAATGTGAATAACGTGAAATAAACAATAAAAGGAACTAAAGATAAAACTAATAGAGCTAAAACAAAGGTAAAATAATATATATATATATATATCAAGTGTGTGTATATAAACTAATAGAAATAACTAAAGAAAAATATAAAGAAACTAAAAATAAAAAGACAATAAAAAGACAATAATTCCACTATAAAAGAAGATAACAGAATATAAAATGTGTATAAAGTAAGTATTTCACAAGATAATAACAGTTTATTAGATAAAAAGAAGAAAGTACAGAAGACCAAGTCTCCCCAAGCTTTAGATAAAAAGGCTGGATTTATATATCTTTTATAATCTTAAATAATTACTAATTATAGTTCATGTTATTGTACTATTGTGTCAAAGAGACTTGTCAAAGAGACTTGTTAAAGAGATTTGTCAAAGAGATTTGTCAAAGAGACTTGTTATAGATACTAACTAATGAGACTAATCAAAGAAACTAACCAACGAGACTAGCCAAAGAGACTAGCCAATGAGACTTAATTACTCATTAACTATTGATTAAAATAAAAAACTATAAAAACTATACTAATAAAACTAATACTAAGAATTCTATTGGTTAAATAATATTTGTACTACACTTAGTAGTTATATATAGATAAGTAATAAAAAATTTAAAGTACTAATATAATATTAATATAATACTATTATTACTAACTCTATCTATATGCCTTTCTAACCCTAACATGAACTCCAATTTTAACCTTAACTTTTTAACTCTAATACAAGTATTTTTTGGAAAAAAACTTTATAATTTTTTTTTTAAAATTATAAGGGTGTAGCACCCACTTAAATGATTGACATATGGGGTATTGTCTATTAAAACAGCAATTTTTTGAAAAATAGATTTATCATGATCGATATTTTTTAATTATAAATGAAAGTCGATTTGCATAATAAAAAATCAAGATAATTGTAAAAAAAAAATTTCACAGAGACACGTAAGGCCAACACATCACAGGATTGCCCGATAGTCACCTGTTAAAGCTAACCAATCAAAATCAGAAATTAAATTAATCCCGGATCAGTCCAAAAATCAAAACAAATGATTAAACTCAATTATTTCAAAATAAATTATATGTAAAAAAGGCTGTTTTAATAGTCAACACCCCATATAAGGTTGAGTCAATAGAAACCAAGCAATTTTTTTTAGTAAGTTTTTTTAAAATTTTAAACAAGAATAACTTAACAAAAACTAGACAAATTTAATAAAATTTTTTTAAAATTAATTCTATAAGTTTGTAAAAATTATTTAAAAAAATTTTTATTAAATTTGGTCAAGTTTTTATTAAGTTATTCTTGTTTAAAGTTATAAAAAAATTTTATTATAAAAAATTTGCTTAATTTCTATTGACTCACTTCTATATGATAGTGCTAATACATATACATATTATATCAAGTACTAAGACTAGAATATTAGATATACAAACTATTTATCTATAGCTAAAACCCACCAGAGCTGACCATATTCCCACTATACAGCTGACCTGGATTTATACATCCCTCCCCAACTGCCAATTAGTATTTACATGTTCACCACATTACCCACAAACCTTTTATCTTCAACTTCCAAATCGGTGTATACCAGGTAGGCACTTATTGCTTCTGGTTTGGTATGCTTGGCAGAGCAATTTCTTTCTCAATTCTTACTTGGTATACTTTCTAGAAGTTCATATTTCAAGCCATGCAGCTGCCTCTACCCAAATAGGTAAGTATCTTAAGCCTGCATGCTGCTATAACTAGCTGGTTTCTTGTGACTTTCAGGACCCAGGTCTTAACATATCCAATTAGGTCTGTGCTAACAACTATACTTCCCAATATGGTGACGAGGCTGCCCAGGCATGTTTTGCAAATGCTTCCAGTAGTCAATATAGTTAGATGGCATCATGAGGCTCAGAGATAATAGATATGTCATCATTTCTTTTTATGGTGATTCTTAGCAATTGTAGTCTCTGGTTACTACTGCATGCACTTATACTAGCTATACCTATATTGGTGTTCCCAAGTTCTCTTAATGCCAAAGGCTCCTATACAGGTATGACCAGAGCCTGTTAGGTCTATCAACACCATGCTTCAACTTCTTATTGGCCAGTGAGTTCTGTATATATTAGAGATGTTTCAAATCTGGTAAGGCCAATTCTTTACTACAGGTCCCTTTGTGTTTACCACATTTCTCACCACTTTCCAATTCTGGTTACCACCTAGTCATCCTCCCAAACAAGATTCCCAATGCCACCTTAGGGGTTGTTGGTGCTACTTTGCCAATTACGGATTTACATGCACAACTTTTGTGTAATAGAACCTTATATAATAATCACCATTACATATAGTACCAACTACTTCACAATAGACCTCTTTTTGAAAATTCCTAATCCAGACCTGTATTTACTTGAACTTCCCATAGCAGATACTTCCAAATATTTGTAGGTAAATGTACCTACTAGGACTTGAACCCAAAACCTGCTCGTAGAGGGTTGGGTGCCTAGACCACTAGGCTACAGGATCCCAACCCAAAGAACTTTATAATTAGTACATGAAAATTTTATTTGTAAGATAATAACTAATATACTTAGAAATCTATAAAAACTTGAGATGTATATACGTACCCAATACCCAATACAGTTCTATTACAAATTCTAAAAGATAAATTTCTGAAAGGACATAATACTGACAAAATCAGCCAGCATTATAACTAATGCTAGCTAACTTTGTCAGTATTATGTTCTTTCGGGAATCTTTCAGATTTTGTAGTTCAAATTAACACTATATATACCAATATAAATATTTTGCAGAAAAAAGTGCTTTTAAAGCAATGTTTTGAGTAAATAGGCAATTTTGTATATTTTAGATTGGTAGTAACTTTATATTAAACTTTTTACTATTTGTATCAATCAAGCAACTTAAATAATGCCAAAAAAAAATCTAGAAATTAATTGTAAATTTGAAAACCAATTTAACTTTTGCATTATGCATAATATTTAATAGACTTGCCAATATCGCTTACAACAATAATTAATATTTGATATTTTACTAACAATTCTTATTTTTGAGAACAAGT